ACATCAGGGCAACCTGGCCCCTACCCTCAACCACAGTTATAATTACTCCTTCAGTTTATTTTTTCACTCACTTGCTTGCTGGCAAGGCACAAGGCTTCTCAAAATAAGCCACTACACTCCATTGGCCAGAAGTGGGCCTCAGCTGGAGAGACTCCTGGCTTCGATGACTGCTTGGATTCGAGGAGAAAATAGTCTTTCCTGAATGTGTTCAGTGACTCTGACCATTGACAAAGATTCTGTCCTTGGCCAAACTCTAGCCAGGCTTTCCTGAGCCCTTTCTCTACTATGCCTTAACCTGGGCCGGTAAAGACCAACAAAACATTAATAGCTCAAGGCCACATCCCAAGGATGACCCTAGCCCACTTTTAGAGTGTCTGAGAAAATTCAGGGCTGTCAAAAGAATTTACTGTTGGTTCCCACCAACACCTGAAGACAGGGCCCCTGTCTCCCAGTCTCTGGAGGAGGGTAGGAGCCAAACTTCCCTAACACCAATCAGCAAACCCGTATGGGTTTCATGTGACTTCCCCTAACCCTGTGGATCCTCCGCTCACCCCGCACCCTCCTCCTCCATTCTCCCTTTAAAAGGTCCTGTCTCTTCTGACTGGTACATAAGTCCAGTTCATCCTGGACTCTTGTCCCTCCTGTAATAATTATTACTGCTCACACCTGCCCGGCTTTGCTAATCTTTGACAGCACGACTAAGAAAGGCTGCCTCTGGAGAAAAAGAGGGCAGAAGACGCCTGGACCGAGAACGGCTGCTGCACAAGAGGCAGGTGCCGGCCGGACCGCGGGTCAGAGCAGAAAAAGATGCTCAAGTGCGCCGCCCGGTGGCAGTGGGCGCAGACCCGCTCGGAACTCCGGGAAGCAGGCGACGCCAGGCAACACCTCCAGCCGCAACAGGAAGGCGGGCCCGACGCAGGTGCGCACCAAGACCAAGGAACGCCGGAGCGCGCCGGCGCGCGGGTAAGCGGCCTACTCGGCCGGGCATTTCCAAGTCAAAGCCGGCCAGACCTCACAGGGGCCGAGCGCCCTCGCTTACCAGCGGCATCTCACGGGGACCCCGAGCGCCGGCGACCGAGTTTCCTCCCCGCGGGAGCGCCAGGACTCCACCAACCAGCGACGAGCCGGAAACACCATGGGAGCCCGCCCTCCCTTCTAGAAAGCCGGAGGTTTCCAGCTCGGCGGCGCGCTTGTCCCAGACGCCCCGGCGCTGCGCTTGCGAAGCCGCGCGGTCTCACGGCAGGTGTCAGTGTTGCGGATGTCCAGCGGCGGTATGGAGGGTCCGGTTGCAACCCTGCCTGTGCAGACCTCAACAGCTGGCTACAGACGGGGCCGCAGGAGGGCCAGGAACGAAGCAAATGTTGGGGATCCCACGTGCAACTGTGATGGAAAAGCCAGACTTCTTGGCTTGCAGGGCGCGTCATACAGGGAAAGAGTTGTTTGCATCTCTGAAGCCCGCACTATCCCTGGAACCCAGTCCAGAGGCTGGACTGGTAAAAATGAACTAACGGTGATGTGGAGTCTGTGCTCTAACCTCTGAGGTTTTAATAGGGCCAGACTTGACATACGGAGCGCTATCCTGAGGACAAGGCCGGAAACTAGAGAATTAGCCCGATTTCACACTGTAAACACTGAAGACACCCGAGCACGTTACAATTTAGACTGGACCGTAGGAGGTCTGCCCACCGTATGCCTGATCTCTGTTAAAGGATACAAGGGCTGTCCTGAATGAGAGCTCTGTGACGGTGCTACTTAGCAATCTCAGCTTCGGGGAATCAGGGCTAGGGTAGGATCAGTTAAGGGAGACGGAGGGAGTACGTGCTGGAGGCCTATTCCTTCGGGAGGCATGGCAGTGGTAGCTAGATTAAAGGAGAAATCATGCAGCCACATTTTTATCACCAGCCAACTTCAGTGTTGGAGTGGCTGTGGAAACACAAGGAAAATCAAGGAGAACTCTAACAAGAAATGAACAAGATGGAGAATTCTAACCAGGGAGCCAGGCTTGCAGCTGCTAAGTGGGCCACATATACAGACCCCAATGAAAAAGGCCCAAGAGCCACAGAGATTCACTGCGTCACTCAACCTGTGGCCAGAAGTGCCTGCTTACTCCAAACACAGCATAGGGAAATCAGAGGGGGACATAACCTCATTTCCCGTAACTCCACTGCTCTTCCACCCCAAAACTAGCCAATCACAAGTCATCAACAAGAGAAGATCTGAATGCACAGACTGAAAGTTTACTGTGAACCAAGAAACATTAATGGAAGATGATCAACACTGCCCACAGAGCTGTCAAAGCTAAATTCCTAAAAGCTTCCAGTCACTGGGGAAAAAAAACCCTGAAGCTTCTCCTCAGTTATCTTAGTTGTCAGGAGACCTGGAACAACAGAAACAAGAGAAAAGGTGCGCTCTCAGAAGTCCGCAAGATACTTTCCAGGAGTCTGATCAGCCCAGTTTACTCTTCCCCTTACCAGAGTGGGGCCCTAGCAGCCTCACTCACACTACGTGGCATAACCCCTTGGCCAGGGAAGAGTAGACCAGTGAACACCTCACCTAAATTGGGCAGATCAGATTCTCTCCCCCAGGGATGTGCCACAGTCTGGGAGATTGTTTGGGCTGTTCCCTGGAATGGGGTTGTAAACACGAAACTTGTGGCAACTTCTGCTATGTGCCTAGGGACAGAGAGCGCAGCACTGCAAACATGGAAGAAGGGATCAGAAGTGAAGAAAGAGGGGTGTCTGGGTGGCTCAGCCAGTTAAGCATCTGCCTTTGGCTCAGGGTTCTGGGATGGAGCCCCACGTCGGATTCCCTCCTCAGCAGGGCGCCTGCTTCTCCCTCTCCCCTCTGCTGTTGCTCTCTATCCCTCTCTCTCAAATAAATAAAATCTTAAGCGGGGTGGGAGGGTTTGGGGTGGGGCAGAGAAGTGGAGGAAGAGCAGAGACTGCCTGTTGTTCCCTCTTGGATTTTCCAGGCTCCAGATCTCCTGCTGCATTCTTGCCCTTGGTGCCAGGCTACACATAGGAATCCTTACAATTCAGTGTACTTACATTCACTGAAATAGGTTTCTGTTATTTTCAAAGTGTCCTAAATAACATTGCCAACTCACTGACAAAGGCAGAAGTCTCAAAACTAAACAATTCTGGTAACGTGATACCCATACCCCTTTCCTGAAGGAAGTGGACAGTCCTCTTGCTCGTGTTAAACGAATACGTTTGGGAGGGAGGGGAGAGGCAGTATGTTCATAGTCATTTCACTTTTAGAGAAAACAAAACTCTTGGAAGAACTCTACGTTGGATTTTAAGTGATGTATGAGTTTATTTTTACACATCCATCCTTTCTGTGAGCAATACATGGCCCTTGTCACAAAACACCTAAATGCCTATTAAGTGCCAAACGACCTGGCAACACCAGTCCCCGTGTTAAGAATAGCACATCAGTCAGCCTTTGACACCTACTAAGTTCTATGGAGCCTGTATCACAACAATGCGGGGAACTCTACCTGCCCGCTGAATTAATGATAAAAGGAAGAAATAAATGAGACGATAATAGTCACCATCATCAGCAACCCATAAATCTATTGGCTGTGAAGAATCAAAAGCCATTTTTCAGCCCAGAGCTGATATTTGTTTTTCCCTACACTCCTTGCTTCCTTCTAATCTTGAACTACATTAGAAGTTCTGCTTATCTTCAGAGGCTCTCACCTCCCTCCCCCACTTCCTTCCTTGCTATAATCCTCCCAGAAACCCTGAGGACGTGTTGGTGCTTGTGGGAAATAAATAGGATATTTTTATATATATCGCATGTGTGTGTGAGAGAAATAATGATGAAGAAACCAGTCGTTGTCATTTTCCTACATTTTGACTGTTTTCCTTAACAGTGATGCTAGGAGAGGGATCTTTGCATTTTGCATAGTCTGGAAGCTCTGACTACAGCTGGGAAGGTTAAGTTTGGTTCTGCCTTTTCTTCTCCTGAATTCTATATATTACACAAACCTTATCAAGCAAGAAAATAAAGAAAAACCACCAACATCCCACAAACCATTTAAATTTCTCCCTATGCTCAGGGTGATGGAAATTTTATCTTGGTTACACAACTGTATACATCTGTCAAAACTCACCAAACTGCCTACTTTAAAAGGGTAAAGCCTATTAAGTATATCTCAATAAGTCTAACCAAAGCCCAGACCGAAATGCTTGTTTATGCCCTCCCTTGCAGACATAATTGTAAGGTGTTATCCTAACAGTGTACATATCTTTTCCTTAGTGTTGTATTCCTGCTTAACTCTTTCAAGTACCTTTCCATGCTCTACACTGTCCTGAGGCAGTGATTGCAAGAAGGATCAGGGTCCATACCATTAGAGAAGTATGGTCAAACCAGTGCCATCATAACATCTGATAAGATTAGTGCCCACCAACAGGAGGTGTCTGGGTGATTCAGTTGATTGAACATCTGACTCCTGGTGTCGGCTCAGGTCATGAACACAGGGTTATGAGATCAAGCCCTGCATCTGACTAGCATTTAGCACAGAGTCTGCTTGTGATTTGTGATTCTCCATCCTCTCCCTCTGCCTCGCCGCCCCCCCCCAACCCCCCCCAGCCCATGCACCAAAAACAAATAAAAAACGTAAAATCTTAAAAAAAAAAAAAAAAGATTAGTGTCCACCAACACTTCTTGGTGTTAATTATAAAAATTGACTTAAAAGTACCAGGACTCAAAAATGCAGATTTAATCACAGAGGATGTGGAGTAGATGTGAGAACACATCTGAATGTGTGTATGGTTAGTTATGAACTCTCCTCTGAGGCAGGAGCTACAGCAAGACAGGGTTAGGTTTCTCTCCTTCCCTCGGAGGCTCACCAGTGTGATGCCAACAAGTTTGCTCCATGTAGAATTGAGATGGATACGCCTAGGCACCTGTGCTCTAACCCACGGTCCCAGATCACTTTTCGTACCTATGTGTTTGTGTGGGCACTGAAATTAAACAAGGATGTGGACAGGAATAGAAAAGGAACCCAAAAAGAGAACCACATCCCCTTCCAATCAAGTTTAGAGACAGTCTACATTCTTGCTATCAATGCTGACTCATCACTTCATATTCTTTCTACTGGTTATTTCCATGATCTATTGCTTGGTTACACAGGATCCTCATCATGATCATTATCTAGGTAATAAGAAGTCCCAGGCTCCCATTCTACACAGTGAGCCTTGCTCCTGCCCCACCAAATGGCCCTCCTTAATTCCTGAAAGCCATCATTGGATACTTTCTCTGCTTACCTCCTCCCATGGGCTTTGCATCTTCCCTATTTCTTGAATTACAACAGGCCATGCCATTGGAATGCCATATCCCTAAGCCCCCAAATGTTCTGTAAACTCTACCTAATCTAGTAGAGAAGGAAGGTGCAATTGATGGTACAGGCCCAAACTGGACACCATAAAGGACAACTCCTACCATTTCCTACCCAGGGGATAGAAGTTTTAGAATCAAACATGGTTCTCAAACACCGTGAGAACATAAATGGAGATGGGAAAACAATAATGACCACATGGGCCCAGAGGACAAACAACACAGGCATGGTCAGGAGCTCAAGGAAACTGATAACTCTAAGTGGGTGGGTGGTCAAGCCCATGAAGGAGCTCGTGGGGAGGATTCGGGCTCCCAAGGGAAGTGAGATCCTGAAAGAAATGCACTACTCGAACAGGGGAAGGACTAGCCGTTTCAGAGGAGGGGATCAGCACAAAGAGAGGCAGGGAGGGAGGAAGGAACGCGGGGTGTGGGGAAGACGGGGCAGCCCCTGGCATGGAGGGGGCAGAGTGCTCATGCTGGGCAGGCAGAGAGGGGTGGCCAGAAGCAGGGCAGTGGGGTCCAACTGTGGCTGGCCCTGCCACTTGGGTGACTTTCTTGCGAGCATGCAACTTCTGGTGCTGAATGAAACTTGCACTCCACTTGAAGGCCTTCCCGCACACCCTGCACTTGTAAGGCCTCTCCCCAGTGTGGAGCCGCTGATGCTGGACCAGGGTGACCTTCTGATTGAAGGCCTTCCCGCACTCCTGGCAGCCGTAGGGCTTCTCCCCAGTGTGGATGCGCTGGTGCACTGTAAAGCGGGAGCTACAGCTGAACGTTTTCCAGCACTCTTTGCACTTGAAGAGCTTCTCCCCTGTGTGGAGCCTCTGGTGCTGGAGAAACACGGAGCTCCGGCGGAAGGCCTTCCCACACTCCTTACACTCATAGGGCTTCTCCCCCGTATGGATGCGCTGGTGCTGGAGGAGGACTGAATTGGAACTGAAGCTTTTCCCGCATGCCTGACACTCGTAGGGTTTCTTCCCGGTGTGGATGCGCTCGTGGACAATGCAGTCGTAGCTACATCGGAAAGCCTTCCCACAGTCCTTACACTGAAAGGGTTTCTCCCCAGTGTGGATTCGCTGATGCCGGAGGAGTTTGGAGTTGTAGCTGAAGGTTTTCCCACAGTCCGGACATGCGAAGGGTTTCTCTCCACCATGGAGTTTCTGGTGCTGAAGGAGGTGTGAATTTTGACTGAACACTTGTCCACACTCCTGACATAAGTAAGGCTTCTCCCCAGTGTGGGTTTTCTGGTGCCGGGAGAGTTTTGAATTATACCTGAAGGCTTTCCCGCACTCTCTGCACTTGTAGGGCTTGTCATCGGTGTGAATCCTCTGATGCTGCAGAAGGTGGGAATGTTGGCTGAAATAGTGGCCACACTCGCCACATTTATAAAACGCCTGTCCTCCGCAGAGGCCCTGCTTTGTCAGCAGGTGGGTGCTGACCCTGGTGCTATCTTCCAGCTTCCTGCTTGCCTCCACCCTTTTGATGACAAGGGATCTGGAGTCCTGGACCAGGGAGTCCCTGATACCTCCTTGGTTTGTTTTCTCTCCTGCCTGACATGGCTGTGGCCTCCCTAAGCTGTCCATAAGGGGAGGGAGCTGGGGAGCTTCTGTGAGCAGCCCCACCACCGTCAGTCTGTGGGCCACAGAGTCTTTAGAAATGTTCAGTCTTGGGCTATGCTCCTCATCCTCGGTCTTGTTTTTACCACCTAGCATGATAAAAAGAAATCAGAGGCACTGAAGCTAGAAAGGTAGAGTTTACTTTAAAAAAAAGGGGGGGGGTGCATTTTGATGCATTTATGACAGATTTTATACTATTTTGGTCTATTTAAGTCTAGTGTAGTCCAGACTAATTTTTTTTTAACTGAGTCTTCTCTATTAGAAGAACTAGGTTTTTTTTAACACTATGCATTTTTGAAATCCTCTAGCTTTACAAGGTAAAATAACAGAAAACAAAATTTTCAGGTGGGTCTTTTCCAGTATGGGGCTGAAGCTCTAGTGAGGGGCACTTTTCTGAATAAGAGTGACCATCTTCATCCTAACCAAGACCTGGTATGACAGAAGAAAACCTTTCTTATTTTGAATCATTAAAAGACAGGAGGAGGCCAAGCCGAAGAGAAAGGCAGTAGGTTCTCCTGCTTACCTGTGTGGGCACCTCCCAGGGCCCCTCCCTTGAGGGGTGTCCAGGGATCCAGGCTCCATGGTGCTTCCCCTCGCTCCAGCTGGAGTATCAGATCTGGTTTGGGGAATGGCAATGCTGCTGAAGGAGAAAGAAAAGGAACAGGAAACTGAGGAGAGTCCCTGCTAACCCCCTCAGCCCACCCTCTGCTTTGCCAGGTGAAAAAGTCAACAGCCCAGGACCCTAAGTAAGCTCAGTGTGGAGAGAATCTGGATATCTGAGGAAGACTCAAATTGTTTTGCTCAAGAGGAGGCTTACTCTGGCTCTATTAGAGAAGACAAACAGCTCCTGTGTCATTAGAGGTGTGTGCAGGGGGTCCTAAGAGACTCTCAAGCAGGGGAGATAGGACCCAGGATTCCAGGGAACTGGAAGAGGGGAGGAGTGAAGGTAGGGCCACCAGGACCCTCTCAGCTGTCTGTGCCCAGAGCAAAAACCCCTCTCAGGAGAGTCTCCACCAGGAAACAGGGAAGAAGCAAATCCTGCTGAAAAACCAAAGCAAGCCTAGATCTTTCTCCATTAGCTACTCCCAAAACAGGGGATTAGGGAGCTTGGCTCATGGTGCATCAGACCTGGGGATGTGGGAGACCCCAGATCCATGAAGGAGGAAGCCAGGGGCCCTCAGGGCAGAGCTCGTTCAGGGATAGGGAAGGACTTACCCAAGGAAGTGATGTTTGCGTAATTCTCCAGCATCACCTCTCGGTACAGGGCCCTCTGCGTGGGGTCCAGGCTGGCCCATTGATTCTGGGGGAAGTACATGGCCACATCCTCAAAGGTCACCGGTTCCTAAAAAAAACAGGCTCCTGCTCAAGTCCTGTCTGAGGGCTGAGGAGGGGCCTGAACTCCAGGGAAGGGCTGCCTCTACTGGAGTCCATGGCTCTGAGGCCCATAGGAGGCTGGTACTGGCGAGGACAGCCACAACCGTACCCCAGCCAGGGACAGCCCTCAGCGCATTTTCAGCATGCACACTTCTGGAACTTCCCTGCCTCGGGGTCACATCAACTCCCTGTCTGGTTCCATGAACTGGGTTGATCTTTCTGGTGTTTTCTAAGATGACCATAGCAGGTATCTGTCTTTTACCCGAAATCCATCCACTCCATCCACTTGGTTTCTCTCTGGTCTTCCCCCTCCATTTGTTTTTATAGACAGAGGAACAATCCCATGGGCACAGAGTTCCTTTCGCTCTTGGGGGATCCTCCCTTTCTGCCATCTTGCTTTATCAGATGGTGGCCCTTGAAGGCAGCGTGCAGTGTTGCTTCCTCCTCTCTTAACACTCGACTCCAGGGACAGGATGGCAGTCTCCATCCTTGAGCAGACACCTGCCCCCAGATCACCTAAGCTCCATCCGACCTGCTGACACTGCCCTCTGCACCAGGTGTGTCTCCCTGCCTCCTGATGGGGCCATTTCCATCTTCTCAGGGGAGAAGGAAACCATCCCTTGTCCTGTGTCACCTATTTTTACATCAAATCACTCAATCATTGGAACACAGCACGAGGTAAGAATTATTATTCTCTATTACAAATTATGGGAATCAGCGATATTAAGCACTTTGAAATAGACAAAAAGGAGTCCTCTTTATCTGAGCATTTATCACGAGGTTGTATAAGGAACCAAGCATTTCAAAATGAACTGACCACTTATACAAGTGAGTGGCACTATACCATCTCTCCCCGACTTACAGTGAACTCTGTAAGTCTGTCCCAGTCTGTCATGTCAACAACGTCTCTGTGCTTAGTGTCTGCCAGGGGAAGAAACACAACTACAGACATACCATAGTCATGGTAAAGATTGGTTCAGACAGCCGTCATGGTAAAGATTGGTTCAGACAGGAATCATCCATGGATGCTACATCGAGGAGGAAATTTTGATGAGGAACAGTACACTTGCGTGATCATAAATGTCCCCCCACAGATTTCAGATCAGTTGCAAGGGAAAGATGACAACTATACACTGAAGAAATCAGGTATCACCTTGACCAAGAAGTTTAAATGTGACTCACGTGCCTGAAGAACTGAATTTCTCATTTTAATTAACTTTAATTCTAAACAGGCACATATACCTAGTGGCTATCTTACTGGACAGTGTACCATAGATAGTTCACTGCCTCTGAATGTTAATCAACCTCTGTCTTTACTTCCTTCAGAGCCAATAGCTGGGAACAGGGACCTGACCTTCCTTCCTTATATCACTCCTCATATCATACCCATCCACTTCTCTGAGATACCCCTGTACTTATCAGTGCATAACTTGTTCCTTGTTTTCTACAACATTCAGCATCTCAACATCCTGCTCCACCTCTGATCACTCTGCTTCTGTCCTCTGCTAGCACTTACTCCTTCTCCATGATGAAGTGGGGCTCTTCATTCCCTTACACAGGAAGTGGGGTTCAGAGGCAGCGCAGCACAGGAGCAAACAGCATGGGCTTCACAGCAGTGCTCCTCAACGGGGAAATGCCCACCAGGACACACAGAGCACTCACTGTCTGGGGACTTTTTTTTTTTTAAGATTTATTTATTTATTTGAGAAAGACAATGCACACACAAGTTGGGGGGGAGGGGCAGAGGGAAAGGGAGAAGCAGACTCCGCACTGAGTGCAGAACCCAATGTGGGGCGCAATCCTAGGACCCCAAGATCATGACCTGAGCCAAAGGCAGAAACTTAACTGACTGAGCCTCCCAGAAGCTCCTGGAGACATTTTTAGCTGTCACAACCAGGGGTCAGTGGGGATGCTATTGACATCTAGTGGGTAGAGACCAGGGATGGGGCTAATTATCAGACAACACACAGGACAGTCCCCCCAAACAATGAATTATCTGCCCCAAAATGTTAATAGTGCTGAGATTGACAAACTCAGCTCTAGGGTCAGACTCCCTAGGTTCAAATCCCATCTCTGATAACCATCAGCTGTGTGACCTTGGATGATATACTCAAACTCTTTTGCCTCAGTTTCCTCATTTGGAAAACTGGGGTAACAGGAGTACCTATTTTATAAGGTTCTTGTAAGGGTGGAATGAGTTAATGTGTGTAAAGAACTACAACACTGCCTGGCACATGGTGTTGTATACATCTCAGCACTTACAAGTACAGATGAGATTAGGGCAACATTTCTCACACAGACTGTAGATAAGACTGACAGTTGTCTAGGGGTGTCTGGGTGGCTCAGTTGGTTAAGCAATAGACTCTAGATTTTGGCTCAGGTCGTGATCCCAGGATATGGAGATTGAGCCCCATGTAGGGCTCTGTGCTCAGTGGGGAGTCTGCTTGAGGATTCTCTCTCTCTCTCTCTCCCTCTGCACTGCTCCCCCACTTCTCACACTCCTTCTCTCCCTCATTTGAATAAATCTTTTAAAAAAAGACTGACAACTGTCTAAATATATATATGCATGTGGGTATTTTTTTCCCCTCTCTTTCTTTTTCGGTAATAGGATCATAATTTTACTTGGGGCTGCTCCCAGCTCTGGCAACTAACTGAGGCCAATGAAACACAAGTACCAAAACAGTTGGGGACCCTCTTGGAAGGTTCGTGAAAGAATGCAAACTGATGAGAGGTTCGCCTTTTTTGTCATCTCCTCTTCTGGAATGCACACATGAGAGCTACAGATCAAGCAGCCACCTTGGATCATGAAGTAGCCTTGAGTGCAAGAGCCAGTGCTAGGATAGTGAAGCAAAAAGAGCGAAAGAGTGGGGTAACACTACCACTGCCACAGTGTCCCTCGACTGCCTCTCCCTGACTTCTCTTGCATGGGACAGAAGCCTCTATCTCATTTAAGCCACTATTACTTGGGGTTTCCTTACTGGAAGCCCATTATGAGTGACTACCCAACGTAAAGCACCAGGAGAGAACAGACTGCCCCTACAGATGTTTAAACACTTCCTGACTTGGAACTAATTTTTTTTTTTAAGATTTTGGTTACTTATTTGACAGAGAGAGACACAGCAAGAGAGGGAACACAAGCAGGGGGAGTGGGAGACAGAGACACAGGCTTCCTGCTGAGCAGGGAGCCCAATGCAGAGCTCTATCCCAGGACTCTGGGATCATGACCTGAGCCGAAGACAGATGCTTAAGGACTGAGCCACCCAGGCACCCCTGACTTGGAACTAATTTTGGCTTGAGTGCTGAAATGGAAGTAGATGGTCCGATGTCTACATACTCATTATTCATAAGTCTTGGATAGGGCTTCCTAATTATATGACACATCCATGACACGAGACACCAGCTTTCCCATTCCCTGATCTAGGATGCTGGAGAAATGCAAGCAACCTCTAGTGCCAGGAAAATTCTGGAAGGGCAACTGCTTCCAGGGCTGCATGAATTTGTGCCAACAAAGAATAGAGGCTTTCACAGAGGTTAAGCTGTCATCTTTGCAATGGGCTGGAGGCACTGGCATCATCTCCAAAGTCTGCATTCTTCCAAGAATCTGCCTCCTCATCAATCCACACTCTCCAAAGGCTCCCCAGTGGCATCACTGGGCCTTGACTTCGTGCAGGGCAAACTCCTCCTGTGGGAGCAACTGTTTAAATGCAGGAGGTAGCCTTCCTCTGTATGGTGTCATGCAGACTAGCACTGCCCAAATTTTAACTTGCCCATCTGTTCCCCAGATACTGTACAAATGTAGATTCTGATTCTGGAGATCTGGGTTGGGGCCCGAGACTCTGCCTTTCCAGCAAGCCCCTTGGTGATGCCCAAGATGCTTATCTGTGAACCGTACTTTCGTGGCCCACAGTCTGCATGGATGTAGAGTCTCACATTTTAGGAGAGTTTCTTAGCTGGTGCTTCCTTCTCTCCCAACCAACCTGATCCTCTCAAGTTTACGTACTCCCCCTCATCACCTCCCCTAACACACTCCTCTGCCATACTCAACTGATGGATGCAATAAGTACGGGACTGGCCAGGTCGGGTTACTCTTCCTGTAGTGATCGATGCTATCTCTTTCGAACGTGGAAAGAGGGAAGAAAGCTCAGCTCACCTGGGACCACACCGTCTGGAGCATGGCTGACGGCCCCTGGCTTCACGCTGCCCTCTCTGTTTGGAAAAGCAAGAACCTGTGGAGCTAAGAGAGAATCACAGTGAGGCTGACCCTGCCTCGTTCCCCACCTCTTTCCCCTCAGCCTCCATGCCTCTCTTGTCCGAAACAATATTCCTAGGACACTCTGGATGTTCTCAGCGCACCTCCTCCAGTGGCTCACGCGGTGTTGCACCTGCTTCTTTTGTAAATTCTACAAAATCTGCCTGGTGAAGCTGAAAATTCCTCAAAAGAATGTTTGTGAAGCGAGAATCAAGCACCGCATGCAGTGGATTCGTGGCTTTCAAGAAAATCCCTGGCTCACGATGAATGAGTGACTAAGTAGTCTGAACTGAAGGTGGCAAAGACTAAAACCAGCATTCACAGAAAAGGTAGTATAACGGGGCCCCGGGACGAAATCCAAGTGGTGATACGGCCCCAGGGGTACGGGGAAGACGCTCAACATCCCAGGGTAAGATGCTGACCGGAGACCCCCAGGGAATCTGCACACTGCACCCCGGCAAGCGGGCGACCCCACGCGTCACCTGCCCCCACCCTGAGTACCGCGAGCCGGGAACGTCAGGCCAGCTCTTCGGGGCAAGAGGGTGGCTGGCGCCTCTGCGGCACGGCCCCTCGGGCGGCGTCTGTGGATCCAGACGCCAGAGCTCCGGGACCCGGCGGGCCGCACCACCCCACCGAGGCGGACCACACAACGCCCTGCCGCTCTCCCCATCGCAGTCGAGGCGGAAGCGCTAGAGGAGGCGCGCCCACCCGCGCCGCTCTAGGAAGCCGGGAGGCTGGCCTTCTCCATGGTCCCGCGAGCCTGAGAGCGGCAACTCGGGGACACGGAGTCCGCACCACACTCTGCGTGGGTTAGCCGCCGGGCTCGAGAGCTTGCCAGCAGCGCTGGCCTCATGAATTCCCGGCCCCAGTCTCAGTCCAGCTGCTTCTTCGGGGCTGTGACCTGAGATCGCCCAGTCCCAGGTCTGACTGTCCGCGTTCTGATCCCGGCTCCATCACCCATTCACTGCATGGCCTGTGCCAGTTACTCAGACTCTGAGCTTCGGTTTCTCAATTGGGAAGGGCAGTAGTTTCGAACTCATAAACTCAGTGCAGTAATTGAGTGAGTCAACTCGTGCAAAGCACTTACAACAACTTCTAGTTCTGCATCATAAATAAGAGAGTAAGTTCTAGCTCTGTTGTTGCGGACGTTATTGTTATTCCTGTGGGTCGTTGCCACTTTCCTGTAACACACTCGATATCTCTTTCTCCAGTCCACATCGAATAAGAGTCATGGCAGCAGCTTCCTATTGGCCAGACATTGTGCAGATACCTTTGAGCTATAGCCCTCTGTATCAACCTGCCTACTGTTTCTTTCTACTTGGCTAATCCATAAGCACCTAAATCTCAGAATTTTTCCAGACTGATCTTGTCATCCTTCCATCACCCTCCAGTTCCACTTTCCGGGGTTGCCTGTCCCTTTCCCCCTATAACCAAGCTAGGTGAGTTGGATCTTTGGTGAGTTACAGGTAGAGACTACACCAGGTGGAGTTGTCATGCAAAGGAAAGTTTATTTGCAGCAAATAAAGAGATCATGGGGAATAATTTCCAAAACTGTGACTCCCCCAGTGGAGGCCAGTGGGTTCTTTTTACTTAAGGTTAGGGTGAATATTCAGGATGAGGAGTTTTGTCATCACATGTAAAGGTGGGCATAAGGTTGTGCAGGTGTACTTAGAAAATATACCTATACATGCATTCTGTGTTATGTTAACAAAAGGCTGGTGCTCCTCTTGGGTGAAATGTTAACATTATAATGAGGCCGACCTCCATGGTCCATCTGCACATGTGTGAGCCAGTGGTGAGCTCAAACAGGTTTAGGCCAGCTGGAGCTCTTCCTGTTGTTTGCCTCTAAACAATAAGGTAAACATTCCTGTGAAGAAAGGGGGCAGGGGAGGGGAGTGGTTAGGAGGGTGGGAGGGTCTTGTTCTGGACATTTTACCTCATTAACCCTATGGAGCATGATTTCAGCACCACTCTCCACTCAGTCAACCAGGTCATTCAATGTGGGAGTCATAACTGATCCCTTCCTCTGCATCGCCTCTGGATTGCTGTAGCAGCCTCCTAACTGTTCTGGTCACCAGTCTGCCCCCCTCTGCTTCCTTCTTCCCACAGGAGAGCCAGGGTGATCTAAGATACGAATCTGGTCATGACACAGTTCTGCTTTTAAAAACTCTTCAAAAGGGCACCTGGGTGGCTCAGTTGGTTAAGCAACTGCCTTCGGCTTGGCTCATGATCTTGGAATCCGGTAATCGAGTCCCACGTGTGGCTCCCAGCTCCACAGGGAGTCTGCTTCTCCCTCTGACCTTCTCCCCTCTCATGCTCTCTCTCACTGTCTCTCTCTCAAATAAATAAATAAAATTGTTAAACAAACCAATAAAAAACCTTCAAAAGTATCTGATTTTGCAGATACTGTATTGTCACCAAACCTTTAGATTCAAGAGTAGCTATCACTTGCAACATGATACCCTATTTAGAAAACCCAAAAGACTCCACCAAAAAATCCTAAAACTAATAAATGAATTCAGCAAAGTCACAGGATATAAAATCAACGTACAGGGGCGCCTGGGTGGCTCAGTGGGTTAAGCCTCTGCCTTCTGCCCCGCTCAGGTCATGATCCCAGGGTCCTGGGCCCTGGGCTGCATCTGGCTCTCTGCTCAGCAGGGAGTCTGCTCACCCTACCTCCTGCCTGCCTCTCTGCCTACTTGTGATCTCTGTCTGTCAAATAAATAAATAAAATCTTAAAAAAAAATCAATGTACAGAAATCTATTCCATTTCTATACACCAATCATGAAGCAAAAGAAAAAGGAATCAAGGAATAGATCCCATTTACAATTGTACCAAAAATAATAAGGTATCTAGGAATAAACTTAACCAAAGAGGTAAAAGACCCGTACTCTGAAAACTCACAAAAGAAACTGAAGAGGTCACAAAAAATGCTTATGGATTGGAAGAGCAAACATTTTTTTTTAAAAGATTTTATTTATTTATTTGACAGGCAGAGATCACAAGTAGGCAGAGAGGCAGAGGTGCAACCAGGCTCCCTGTTGAGCAGAGATCCTGATGCAGGCTTGATCCCAGGACTCCAGAATCAGGACCTGAGCCGATGGCAGAGGCTTTAACCCACTGAGCCACCCAGGCACCCCAAGAACAAATGTTGTTAAAATGGCTAGACTACCCAAAGCAATCTATACATTTAATGCAATCCCTATCGAAATACCACCAGCAGGGGTACCTGGGTGGCTCAGATGGTTAAGTGCGGCAGACTTTGGCTTAGGTCATGATACCAGTGTTCTGGGATCCAGCTTCCCATCAGACTCCCTGCTCATAGGGGAGTCGGCTTCTCCTTCTCCCTCTGCCATTCCCCCAGCTCATGTTCTCTCTCTCTTAAATAAATAAATAAAATATTTTAAAAAATACTACCAGAATTTTTCACAGATCTAGAGCAATCCTAAAATGTGTATGGAACCACAAAAGACGCCAAATAGCCAAAGTAAGCCTGAAAAAGAAGAGCAAAGCAGGAGGCATCAATTCCAGACTTCAAGCTATATTACAAAGCTGTAGTCATCAGACAGTACGGTAGTAGCACAAAAACAGACACATAGATCAATGGAACAGAATAGAAAACCCAAAATCGGACCCACAACTCTATGGTCAACTAAACTTCTATAAAGCAGGGAAAAATATCCAATGGAAAAAAGCCTCTTCAATAAATGGTGTGGAGAGAACTGGATAGCCACATGCAGAAGAATGAAAGGACACTTTCTTATGCCATACACAAAAATAAATTCAAAATGAATGAAAGACCTACATGTAAGACAGGAAATCATCAAATCCTGGAGGAGAACATAGGCAGCAACCTCTCCAAGCTCGGCTGCAACAACTTTTTTTTTTTTTTTTTAGATTTTATTTATTTATTTGACAGAGAGAGAGGGAACACAACAGGGAAAGAGGGAGAAGCAGGCTTCCCGTGGAGTAAGAAGCCCAGTGCAAGGCTCGATCCCAGGACCCTGGAATCATGACCTGAGCCAAAGGCAGAAGCCCAGAGACTGTGCCACCCAAGCACCCTAGCTGCAACAACTTCTTACTAGATACATCGCTGGAGGCAAGGGAAACCAAAGCAAAAATGAACTATTGGGACTTCATTAAGATAGAAATCTTCTGCACAACAAAGGAATTAAATGACAAAACTAAAAGGCCTACAGAATGGGAGAAGATATTTGCAAATGACATATCTAACAAAGGGCTAGAATCTAAAATCTGTAAAGAACTTATCAAACTCAACACCCAAAAAACAAGTAATCTTGTTAAGAAATGGGCAGAAGTCATGAATAGACATTTTTCCATAGAATACATCCAGATGGCTAACAGACCCGTAAAAAGATGCTCAACATCACTCATCCTCAAGGAAATTCAAATCGAAGCCACAATGAGCTACCATGTCACACCTGTCAGAATGACTAAAATGAACAACTCAGGAAACAACAGATGTTGGGGAGGATGTGGAAAAAGGGGAACCCTCTTACACTGTTGGTGGGAATGCTAACTGGTGCAATCACTCGAAGAACAGTATGGAGATTCCTCAAAAAGTTAAAAATAGAACTACCCTACAATCCAGCAATTGCACTACTAAAAGAATACAAAATAGCAAAAGAATACAAAAATACAGATTCGAAGGGACACATGCACCCTAATGTTTATAGTAGCCTTAACAACAATAGCCAAACTAAAGAAAGAGCCCAAATGTCCATTGACTGGGTATCCATCGAATGGACAAAAGAAGACATGGCATATATGTACAAGGGAATATGACTCAGCCATCAAAAAGAATGAAACCTTGCCATTTGCAATGACGTGGATGGAGCTGGAGTACATTATGCTAAGTGAAATAAATCAGAGGAAGACAAATACTATATGATTTCACACATATGTGGAATTTAAGAAACAAAACAGATGAACATACGGGAAGGGGGA